TATATATATATATATTTGAAAAGGAAGTAAGCTTAGTTGGAAAGCGATCAACAATAGCATCATGTACATTGCAACATAAAGGAGATATAGTTTATGAGTAATGTTAAAGAAAGGTAACGTAGGTGATGTTAATCACTGAGAATTACTTTAAAACAGAAGTCATATTAAAGAAAATAGCTTCTAATAACCAAAGGAACAACATACGTCAAACGTTGTATCTTGGAGATGGACCCTCTTGAGAACTTCCAAACCGTAAACGGAGTGGATGCTCTACATCGACCAACATTGATTTCCAAGGAAGAATTGTCACCTCTAATAATGAATCCTGATCACAATCAAGATAAGAAGGTTACATGAAGAAGAAAGTGATCGTCCGTAAAGACGATAGTTTTACGACCTAAGACCTTGCAGTTGATCTGACGGTTAATCAATGGTTTTTCTTCTTGAAAATTAAAAAGCATAGTAATTTTAATCAAATAAATCTGTATTCACATTTATGATATGTTTTGCGTTCATCCGCCAATGCACACAGATAAACGAAAAAAAGCAAGATATGTTAGTGACCAGAATATGTTCTATATGTATAGCAGTATATCATAAACGGGCATAAATGTATAAGTTTACATGTATAAGGAAAATTGTCAATTTGAGCAACAAATTCTATTTTATATGATTTGTCAATGCTGATCAATGTCTCTACCATTGTATATGTCATAAGAGCATATGTTATTTTTTTTTTAGTTGTTGTTTTACTGAAAGGAGAATAACTTTTCAGTATTTTTTATAAATAATAAATGATGAAGACCAAATTTGATTATAATACTTTACCAACGGTCAAGATAGACAACGACTAAGTCATAATAGAGAGTCCAAGCGAAGCATCAATTATGTCGAAGAATCAGTGATTTAAAAAGCGCTAAACGCCAAGGTCCAAAAACACCTGAGGCGGCGCTCGCCCGAGCGAAACGAGGCGCTAAAATATAAAAATATAAAATATAATTAATAAATATAATTATTTAAAATTTTAAATAAAAATATAAAAATATATAATATATTTAATAAATATAATCACATTAACAGTATAAACCTGCTGACGGAGAAACGAGGAAGCAGCGGTGAGCGGCGGCGGCAGCAGCAACGACGAGCGGCGGCAGCAACAGCGACGAGCGACGAGCGGCGGCAGCGGGAAAGGGAAAGGGAGCGGAAGGCGCGAGCAGCGGGAAGGCTCGCGGGAGGGTTCGCAGGAGGCGAGAGGGCTCGCGGGAGGCGCGAGCAGCGGGAGGGCTCGCAGGAGACGCGAGCAGCGAGAGGGCTCGCGGGAGGCGCGAGCAGCGGGAGGGCTCGCAGGAGGCGCGAGCAGCGAGAGGGCTCGCGGGAGGCGCGAGCAACGGCAGCAAGCGACGAGATCGCGATCGGGATCGGGATCGGGATCGAGAGCTGCAGCAGGTTAGTGTTGGGTTAGGGTTAGGATTGGGGTTATATCGGTTTAGTTGGTTCGATTGAACCAACTAACAACCGAACCAGGACCGAACCAGACCTAAAATTCTGGTT